TGGCAAATGGAATGGGGTAGCATGTCAAAATTAGGTGTGTGTCTGTGTGTGTATTTAGTGGTAGGAGGGTGATGCGCCAGTTTATTCTTCACCTTGGAAGGTGAATACAGGTGATAATTTTTTAAAAATATTTTTGTTTATTTATTCATGAGAGATACACAGAGAGAGAGGCAGAGACATAGGCAGAAGGAAAAGCAGGCTCCATGCAGGGAGCCCGATGTGGGACTCGATCCCCGAACTGGGATCACACCCTGAGGTAAAGGCAAACAGATGTTCGACTGCTGAGCCACCCAGGCATCCCGAGTACAGGTGATAACTTAAGTAACTTTTTCTTGCCACTGCATGCCATGAACTACCAATGTCCCCTTTACTACTGGACAGAAGATTTTTAGTATCTTTAAATCTAATGTTATTAGAGAAGCAATTCCAGGAAACCCAGAACCATTACAGAGAAACCCTCCTTAAGGTTCTTAGTCTACTTCTAGTACCAAATTCTGTATCAGTCAGGGTTCAATCAGTCTGAGAACAAAATCAGTTGAGCAATTACAAGAGGTGATTAAACAATCCAGTTGAAACTGTTGCTTCTGTGTCTGGTGCTAGGGCCTTGTATTAGCCAGGGATCTTCAGAGAAACAGGAGGAATAGAAGATATTTATATTCTAGTAATATATTAGGATATATCCTATTTAGGGAATGGCATGTTCCATATGTAGCGGTATGTGTATGTGTGTGTGTGTGTGTGTGTGCGTGTGTGTGTGTGTGTGTATATATATAAATAAATTGAATATGTATAGAGAGAATAATATATTCTGTTAGTATGTTAGTATATATTCTGTTCAGAGAGTAGTATATTCTATTAGTATATTAATATATCTATTTTTTATTAAAGATTTATTTATTTATTTATTCAGAGAGAGCAAGAGAGAGGCAGAGACACAGGCAGAGGGAGAAGCAGGCTCCATGCAGGGAGCCCAACCTGGGACTCAATTCCGGGTCTCCAGGATCACACCCCGGGCTGAAGGGATAATATATCTATATATTAATATATCTCTATATATCTATATATAATATATAGATATATTACATCTATTAAATTAACATATTATCTATTATCTATCTATCTATCTATCTATCTATCTATCACTTACTACATTTATTATGAAGAATTGACTCACTTGGCTATGGAGGCTGAGAAGTTCCCCCATCTACCATGTGCAGTTTAGAGAGCCAGGAAGGCTGGTGCAGTTCTGGTCTGAGTCCAAAGACCTGAGGACCAGGAGCACCTATGGTGACAGTCCCAGTCCACGTAGTGAGACAGAGAGAGTGAGTTCCCCTTTCCTTCAACTTTGTCTTATTCTAGCCTTTAATGGATTGGATAATGCCCACCCACACTGAGGAAGACATGGATTTTATCTAACCTAATCAAATGCTAATTTCCTCTGGAAACACACTCACAGACACACCTAGAAATAATGTTTAACCAGCTCTCTGAGCATCCCATGACCTGGTCATGTTGACACACAAAACTAACCATCACAAGCCTAAAGTCCACAGAGAAGGCAGCTGAGAATAAAAGATAGATGCCAAGAGGGAAAGCAAGGAGAGCCTTGGAGGAAGGGATGGGACCCAGGAGGATGAACTGAAGTCCTGTCAGTCTCTCACTTTCCCCAAGGAAGGGGGAAGCTCAGAGAAGGTGAAGGAGCAGCACGCTGTACCCCCACCATCACTACAGGCCAGCAGATAGGAATCAAAGAGCCAGAGAGAGTCACTGCGGTACCTTCAGAGCGCAGAGCACACTTTCACCTCTTACATCTCATGCAGATTGTCTCTGGTCGGGGAACATGACCCTGGAGCCCTGCATTCCAATGTCCTTTCAGCTTTGTCCATACAGTGTAAAGCCACTCTACATTTTGTTTAAAGATATAAGTATTCCAGGTCTTAATGGAGGGGGAGAAAGAGGTCTCAGATGGGCACTGTCCTCATGGAGTTAAGAGCTTGAGGTGTGGAAAGATGGTGAGAAGAGAAATACTTGTAAACAGAGAAGCAATGGCACCTTGCTTTGGCCAGTGGCAGAGGGAAGTCCCAGGACTAGTTCTGAATGAAGCAGTTGAGACAAGACAGCTTTTCAGCTGTCTAGTAACCGCTTTTATTCATACCCGTTCCATATTTCACTTACAATTTAAGGTTTTGTTCACCAGAATGAATGTTTCCTCAGCATCTTATACTTTGCCTGTCTTTACTCAGTGTGAGATGCTCAGCTGTTTCTTCTTGTTACCAGAGTAGCCTTGTTAGCAGTATACCTCCAACTGCTTTTCCCTTCCCCTCATTCTGGTTCTAAGATGCTTTTTTAGAATTATGCCTGAAGAGGCTCTAAGCCAGGGCCTGCCTGGCTAGAGGTCCCAATATCCAACCCTTACTTATTTCTGGCCACGGGAACTTTCTTAGGGAAATGCACTGAGCAACATTAACAAATAAACAGCGTTGTTGCAGTCTTGCATTAATTGTATGACTTCATCCAACTTAACCCCATATTTCTGTTTGCATCATCTCTAAAAAGTAGGAATTATCCTGTATGATCACTAATATTCCTCTCAATCTTAACATCCTATGCATCTATAATTCCTCTGCAGTAAGGGCGGGAAGAAAATCCAACAGAAAAGGAATTGCTAGCCATTAACTGAAATTATTTTAAATTTCAGAATGTATTGCTGCGCTCCGAATGGAGTGTTGGATGTCCGTAAAAATGCATAGATTGACATCTGGAGGTACATAGAGCTGAGATGGAAGAGATGATCTTATAATATATGTATAATCATGATAATTTAATTCATTCCTCCTCTTCTGCACTACATATACGCTCTACATACACCTAGCAAATGTGATAAACCTTCCAGCTGAGCTACCTGATAGCCACACTTGCATAGGGACTATAGCTTAACATTTTTTTCTTGAAACACTTGTAAAAGGGGATCAGTTCAAGGAAAACTAATGATTTAATTAATATAATGACTTGAACAAAAAAAAGCAGCATAATTGCCATAAACTAATTGGAGTAGAGGATTAAATCTATGAAAGAAATCTATGACAGTGTTTATGATCTTATTTTTAAGCTCTTTAAAAATAAATCTATTCATGTCAGTTTGTCATCATGACATTCTGGGTAAAAATGGACTGCTTCGATGACAATCTGTAGCTGAATTTCATATATTATACATATTTTTAAAGTATTATACATTTTGAGTTAAAAATTCATTAAAACAAGCCCACTTGGGAATTTAAATATTTCATTGGTGATTGAAATTGTTCTGTGGGGAAAAATAAATTTGTTTTTATTGCTTTAATTTGGCCTTGTGTAACCAGTTTTCAAATAAATTGTTTTTACAACAATTTATCTGAAATTCCTACCTAAATGACAAAACCTTGCCTTTTTGTAGCCACCACTGCTATTTTATTTCACTTCTTTGCAATTTTTGGAGGGCTCTGGAATAAAATTAATCAGATAGGGACCTCAAGTACAAAGGTTGTTTTATTGCAGATTTTGGGAGGTGACAATTTAACAACTGCCATCAAACATTTGAGCAAAAGTCACAACTGGGTACTACTATACAAGATCTTATTACAAAGAGGACATATTCTTAGGGTATTATAGTATAGAAATATAGGAAAATTAAGTTTATAAATAAATCTAATAAAAGATGAAATATATGGTCACTCTGTCTGGAATATTCCTAACCACTTCTTTCCAGCTCATTCCATTCCTTGCTGCCTCTTTTTCCGCATATACTCTTATTATTCTTCCTTCTTTTTTAATTTTGTTTTTCTAAGCTTGAGAATCATAGGATCTCTGGTCTGTTCATTCCTGTTTATCCAGCTTATTTGATACACTTAATAAGGTTTTGTTGAATGAAATTTATTACAGTTTAATCTAACTGAAGTGGAATAAAGTGATTTAGAAGCCCACGAAAGAGGAAGGTCATCCATGTCGCTGGGCAAATAAGAAAGGCTTGGGGCATTTCCATTTAAGATGGATTTGGGGAAGTGGGTAGCATTTTAAAAATTAGAGAGAGGAGCCATTCAAGGCAGAAGGAATAGTAAGAAACAAAGGCAAATGAGCTACAAAAGTAAAGAACATAGTTGCAGAGTATCTTACAAAATTCAACTAGAGTTTTTGTTTTTATACTTTCAAATGTGTTATTACATTAACATAGAAAATATTTAGGGTTTAATTTTTATACCTTAAGTTCTTTATGAAATCTAGAAATATTTCTACCTTTTCCTTTGGATTGAGATGAGAGCGTTGTAGAATACCAACAACATTAATTGAGCACTTATCATGTGATAGATACTGCTCAGCACTTGACATGGATTCCCTCAATCTGTCCTCATCAAAGCCTTATGAAGGGGCTACTATCATTATCCCCATCTTGTAGAAGAGGAAATAGACATTGTTGAGATTATATAACTTGTCCCAGTTAGACAACTAGGAAGGGGAGAAGTCAATATTTTAACTCAGAAAGTTGATGAAAGAACCCTTTTTCTTTTAACTTGTACTATGGTTCAAGGATTCACTGCTCTCCAAGGACAGCAACCAAAATTGTTTGAAAAACAAGAGTTGTGAACATGGAATATGCCTTGTTTTAGGCATATTGTGGGATTTTGTGAACAGTGGAATTGATTTGATGAGGCCAACAGTGGACTTGCTTCCTGATAAAAATGGCTTCCATTTCAGTTATAATATGGCAGTAGCTTCGATGCCAGGTTAACTAAGTTGCAGAAATAGCTCTTAAAAAAACAAAACAGCGGGATGAGCACTAGGTGTTATTCTGTATGTTGGCAAATTGAACACCAATAAAAAATAAATTTATTATTAAAAAAATAAAATAAAAAACAAAACAAAACAAACAAAAAACAAAACAAAAAAAAAAACAAAACTGAAAGAAAACCAAAGAAATCCCTATAAAACTGGTGATAACCTGTGCTTTCTAAACATTTCTCCTTTAGGAAATATATTTGTGGTGAGCCTTGCAGTTGCAGACCTGGTGGTGGCTGTTTATCCATACCCCCTGGTGCTGACATCTATATTTAACAATGGATGGAATCTGGGCTATCTGCACTGCCAAATCAGTGGCTTCGTGATGGGCCTGAGTGTCATCGGCTCCATATTCAATATCACTGGAATTGCCATTAACCGCTATTGCTACATCTGCCACAGTCTCAAGTATGACAAGCTGTACAGTAACAAGAATTCCCTCTGCTACGTGTTCCTGATATGGATGCTGACGCTGGTGGCAGTCATGCCCAACTTGCGCACTGGAACCCTGCAATATGACCCAAGGATCTACTCCTGCACATTCGCACAGTCTATCAGTTCAGCATACACGATAGCTGTAGTGGTTTTCCATTTCATAGTTCCTATGACCATAGTCATCTTCTGTTACCTGAGAATATGGATCCTGGTTCTTCAGGTCAGACGGAGGGTGAAACCTGACAGTAAACCCAAAATGAAACCACAGGACTTCAGGAATTTTATCACCATGTTTGTGGTTTTTGTACTTTTTGCCATTTGCTGGGCTCCTCTAAATTTTATTGGTCTCGCTGTGGCTTCAAACCCTGACAGCATGGGACCCAGGATCCCAGAGTGGCTATTTGTGGCCAGTTACTATATGGCATATTTCAACAGCTGTCTCAATGCAATTATATATGGACTACTGAATCAAAATTTCAGAAAGGAATACAGAAGGATTATAGTCTCACTGTGTACAGCCAGAATGTTCTTTGTGGATAGTTCTAATGATGTAGCACATAGGGTTAACTGCAAACCCTCTCCATTAATGGCCGACAATAACCTAATAAAAGTGGACTCTGTTTAAAATACAAAGCACTTCTGGCAAGATATATGCACCGCTCAAGATTTTACTGACTTTCATGTTTGCTTCCTTCTTGACAGATGCCTAGACACACAAAGTAGTGGAGAACACTTGCACTTCTAAGAGGTTGCCTGTAGTTTATTGAACTGCTATGCTATCAGCCTTTTGAATAAGTCTCTAATTCTGCTTATGAAGAGAAATACAGAACATAAAAATAGTTACACGTTAATTTGAAAATATGGTTCAGGGATAGGGGTGTGGGGCAGTAATTTTAAATAAAAATGCTAAATGTATTTGAGTGGAGAAAGAGTATGCAAACTTTTCTTTTGTTGCAAATGAATGTCACAAAGTAATTGCTTTTTTCCTCCACTTTTTGAAGATTTCTTGTCGGAAAACAAATGTATCATAGTTGTAAACAAGCAAATGGAACAAAAAGAGAAAAGTGGAATGACTGATTCATTAAATAGTAAAAGGCTGAAAGTGAATCAGGGAATACCTCGACATAACAGCAACAACCACAACAAAGTTTTCCCTTGGCAGTAGGTAGCATTGGGTAACTACAGTCATGATCATGAATATGGTCTCTATTAAAAGGTGTACATTCAACTAGATAAAGAGCTAGCTACATGAAGGAACTCTTTTTCAGATGTCAATAGCCATAGTATTTGAAAACAAGAACAAAATATAAAACTCTATTTGACTTTATTAGACATTTGCTTTATTATTTTGTCATGGAAGATCATTATTCATTTTACTTACAAGCTGTTTTGAACTGATCTCTGTTGATTTATGAAGTCATCTAATCAATTTAATTAAAATTGACAAGGAATCAAAGAGCTGTATACAGTGAATTTGTCTTATATTAATCATCTATTTGGGCAAGTAAATATCTAAACTAGAAGGTTCTTATTTTTTTTTATTTTATTTATTTATTCATGAGAGACACACAGAGAGAGGCAGAGACACAGGGAGAGGGAGAACCAGGTTCCCTGCGGGGAGCCCAATGCGGGACTCAATCTCAGGACTCCGGGATCATGGCACGGATCAAAGGCAGGTAGGTGCTCAACCACTGAGCCACTCAGGTGCCCTGATGGTTCTTTTATAGATATTTCAAAGAAATATTCTTTAATAATTCATTTCAGCATTTGATTGCCCTAATAATCCTAAAAGTCTAGGAAAAAATGCACAGGTATCTATGGTTTCATAAACTATGGCTCTAGTTTATCCCAAAAAGCTACTTAGGACAACACTGTCAGGTTTGTTACCTGAAGGAGGGCTTCACAGGAAATTAGAGCCATTGCTTCTTGTGTTTTAAAGTTTTTCAACAAAACTATTACATAGTAGAAAGAGTTAGTTATTTGCCAACTGTATACATAAAACACAAAATGATCTGGATATAATTGCTAAATACCTCCATAGCTAGATAATCAGAATCTCCTTGGAAATGCTATCAATTGTTATAAAATGTTCCTGTGATAACTGTTTCCATCAAGCATATTTAGGAAACACTAAATTATGGTTCATGGTGGGGAGTGTAGGGGTGTGTATTTGTGTGTGTAAGTTATCTCTAAAACTTTACCCATTAAATCATTTATGTGTAAACTTTCTAGTCAGAACCAACACTAAATAGTAGGGACAATTTTTAAACTTGTGTTCCAAATTTCAGATAACTGAACCTTAAAAATATTAACCATGGTACTTAAACTCTTTTTAAAATGTAGGACACTTTTATTTTGTCCCTGGGGATAAACTACTATGTAGCCTGTTAACTGTATATTCCTTTGCTCCTTATAGAATTTTGCTTCTTAGTTTATACAATAGCTAAATACTAAATACTAAATAGAAACTGTGCCCTTTAAAAATTGTCTGCCTAGTAGAGTATATCACCTTAAAATCAGATATGTAGCTTAACATCTTAAAATGTTTTTCTTGGGGATCCCTGGGTGGCGCAGCGGTTTGGCGCCTGCCTTTGGCCGAAGGCGCGATCCTGGAGACCAGGGATCGAATCCCACATCAGGCTCCCGATGCATGGAGCCTGCTTCTCCCTCTGCCTGTGTCTCTGCCTCTCTCTCTCTGTGACTATCATAAATAAATAAATAAATAATTAAAAAAAAGAAATTTAAAATGTTTTTCTTTGCTACATCAGAAGACTAACTAGTTAAAATATTGACAATGAAAAAGCAACTCATAAAGACCAGGGTCAAAGTTTCATATTTCCTCTAATGGAATCTCACTGTAGAAGCTTTATAAACATTTAAAATATTATCACTGGCTTCCTCACTATAATATCAATAAGTAGGATGTCCTTAGCTAAATGTTTTTTGCCTCTGAAAAATTCAAATATGTGATCAGTTGTGCCTGGTTTTCCAGTGTACAGTTTTGTAGACTGAAATATTAACTCTTTTTAGGCTACAAGATTACTATTTATCAAATGGACTGTTGTTTAGTACAAATTGGTATGTGAGTAGCATGGCCAAAGATGTGCTGTATTATTCAAGGAAGCAAACTCATGAAATTTGCTGTGTTGTGTTAATCAGCTATAAACCTCTGTTAAATTAAACCTCTTTAATCTATCAGAGTTATTATCAATGTAATAATTTTATAGTCTTCCTTCTATTTGGAGTACCAGTGGTGATGTGAATAAGAGTTGGAAATGAAAAGAAATAAAAATTCTGAGTGGCACATTTACAAATTTTATGCATATTTTTACTTGCTTATAGCTTGGGTTTCACTGCATAGGCTGGAGGCTGTGTGAGGCTGAAAACAGTACCAATATTAATATTAGGGGGAGATGCCTTTTTTTCCAAAGCACTGTGGAATCTGAAACTCTGGATAGGCCAAATCTACACAAAACTGTTTGATTTGTAACAAGGATAGCAAAACATCTCATTTTCTTTTCTAAGATCAATTGCTAGAATTATGTGCAGTTATTAGCATTATGCAATTCAAGTTCCTATCTTAATTTCCAATTGAAATGGATAGACCAAAGATTTTGAACATTCTGATTTAAATAAATCATTGGAATATTACGACTGGAAGGACTTCCTCAATTCTATTATTTTATGAAAAATTTAAATCATGTAGGATTCTTTTTTTTTTTTTTGCTACCAGAGAATGTCACTTCTAAACATATTCTACTTTTTATACCTGTTGGAAGAGATTAGTTTGGGACATATTGCCTATATGTTATTATGTAAGCTACATAATCACATAAAACATGATTTTATTTGTTTAAGACTAATAAGTACTATAGATTGAGGGGAGGGAGGAATAATTTCAGTTTGTCTACTCTACTGTATATTTCATTACCAAATATTTATGTTTGAATCATTTCCATGTGTAAATATGACTTTTTCCCTGACAAGACAGAAGAAACTACCAGATTTTAAATATTCTGGCAAGTAATATGAGAGGTTAACCAATCTTAGATATTAAATCCATAATTGCTCCTTGAGTAAACACATTCGGCCTGAATGTTATGTAATGAATAATAATTTTGACCATTTTTTGGACTGTCTCTGATGCATCATCAAATATTTCACTGTGAGTAAGCAAACACATTTGGCATAAAACAGGTACATTTCAAGTCAGTTTAAATTACAAAATTATTATATTTGAGAAATGCCTGAGCATAGGCAGTCTTTTCTTTTTAAAAATAATTTTTATAATTTATTTTTCCCACTTTTTACTTTTCCCTACTTTTGTGCTTGAAAAAAGGAATCTCCACTTAAAAAAATTTTATCTTGTACAGTACAAAAAGTGCTATGTTCTCCACAATGGTAACACCAGCTTTCCTATATTGATCACAACTTTTGTAAATATCCTAAAACTGTGTTGTGAAAATTTAGAGAAGAAAAGAAAGTGGTTTTCATCATATTCAATATTTATGTTGCTGATAAGTGAGTACTTATTTTAACAGAGGTCTTTGATACACCAAAGACTGAATGTAAATTAGATTTGTAAGATATAGGGAAAGGCCCAAATGGTGAGATACTTAATCAAAATCTTAGTGTACATATTATGTAACAGTAACAAACAGAGTAAAAATCCAGTAACAAACTAAATGGGTACCAGGAGATTGTCTGGTAATTATAACATTTAGAGGAGTGTGATCTTAGCTGTGGCAAAGTCTTGAAATGTTGGGACATATAATTATTTTAAAATCGTAAGCCTTAATCATATTTTGTAATATTTACCATCTCTAGAACAGAAACATTTTAAATTAATAAAAGCAATTACTTATCAATATTTTTTCCATTAAAGACCCTAACATGGGAGAACAATTTTGTGTATGGGTGCCTGTGTGTACCTATACATATTGTGTATTTTCGCCAATAAGCTCCCTTTTGTGTCATCTTTAATGTTGATGGTTTTCAAGACCATGAATAGCATCCACAGCTTTAAAGAATCAAAGGCTGTTTAGATGTTGTGCTACATTGTAAGTAATAATGGTCTGACCCTAGGAAACAGTTTATTACAAGGACACCTTTCTGTGTTTTGATGACAAAGAGTCTATGATTAATATGCCCATTTCAAAACCAAGTGATTACTGTTGCTTTTAGATATTAGATACTGATCCTCTCTTTTCTTGTGGTAATCAGGTGCTCTAATTTCTGATAGAACTGTGACTTCCCAGTGAGTGATGCAAATATATCTGATTTATTAACATAGAGTAAAAAATAGTTTTGTTTGGAATGGAAAAATGAATTGTACTTTCTATTCCCATAATGATTTCAACAAATCTCTAAGAACTCTTAAGTATTAGTGCCTAGAAGCTATGATTTCTTCGCTGACTCTGTGACTATTGAGCTAGAGAATAAGTGTTTAGACAATTCAAAATAGTTAAATATGAGCGAAACACCCACAGCATGCCCAGCTGCACACTCTGGCTGCATTGGTATGCAGGCACCAGCCACCACAGCACTTCATGTAATCCAGCATAGGACTAGTGGCCTAGCAGTATTTTGCTAACACCAACTTCCCTGCTCCCAAGTTCCCCAGTG